AAGGATGAAGAAACTCGGGTAATTTTCTTTTAAAAAGTAAAAACAAATTAACTAAGTAACTTCTTGGGAAAACAACAGTCATTCAGCTAGCCAAGAAGACACCAATCTTTAATGGAATCCGGAAGTTATTTACTGCCTTCACGACGTCCTGCAACTGGACACTGCACTGATCCTGTCGACTGCAGTTCATACTCAAAAAATATTTCTTAGAAGGGTCTACTAATTGTCTCTTAACTTCAAATTCTCCGACTAATGTTGCGGATACAAAATGCCTGAACTAGATTTCAGAACCGTATAAACTGAGGTATGTCCGTCACACATGACCCATTTATTGTCTATCTTATTGCCAGTGACAAGAGTATATATCCATTCATTATGTTTATGTCACATAAATGTTTATTAGTCAAGCAGCAGCAATAATTTAAATGTAAATTTGAAATGTCGAGTAGTTTTATAACCATCACTAACTTATCCTATGCTAACCTAAACCAATTTAACCTAACTTAATCTTAATATAATCTGCCATACTGAAACATGATGTCACCTGACTGCTAATAATCATTTGTGTCCTTTGAGGTTATCACACAGAGATTTTAAAAAATAAATGATATGAAGGAGTTATACAGACAATGGAACCTTTAAAGAGAACTCAGGATTTGTCTCATTCCTAAATTACAACTTTAAATGTGACGAGATTGATTTTTCTTTTATACGCTATAGTCAGAGTTCAAATCTAAAATTATCTAAATTTCGTACAATATAAACTGCTTGAAATATACAGGGTTTTATAATATGTTTTGGAGACTCTCATCTGCTTCATCTTCTATTTATATATATATTTTTTGTAATAAATGGGTTCACGACAACCATCATTCTGCTCTCATAAAACACGCTACTACAGAAAACTCGTATTATCGGGTCAGATGTATGTTTCTACATGCTGTTTGTGAGCAAGTTATTTGTTAAGATTATTTATTCTGAGTGAAGCGTTCTGTCTTCTTAGCCATGGAATGAATCAAACACGTCCTTTCCATGTGACAAGGCTACCATGGATGTAGCGCAGTGAGAAAACAAAGTTATTTGCTCAAACGTTCAGTGTCCTTAGCCCATCATTCTGAGGACTATAAAGCAATACAACCGAAGAAAACAAGTTAAAATTATAAAATTACCCGAGTTCTCATCGATGTTACTGTACAGTTTTACAGTCGACAGCTCTGACCAACAGAAATGTTCAGACTAGAGTTCACGTGTCTTGACAAATACGTACGACATTCAGACGTGCCTATGGTTTGGTTGTTTACAGAAAATATTAATCTCTTTATACTACTGCAAATGTCACACATTAAAAATATAAAATTTCTCTATCGTCACACTAACTAGGGTTGAAAAAGAATTCAAAACGAACTCAAAAGACACCTCATAAAGAGTAATCTTGAGTCATTTAAAATTCAGATATGTTGTCATGGGAACACACTCGATAGATTAAAACATTATTTTGCTAAAAGTACATTCTCTAAACTCCAATCCTTTCTCAACCTTCTTTCTCAGTGATTCTTTAGAAAAATGATGCAAGGAAAAGATGAGAAAGACTGAACAAATTAACAACTGATTATTCTCTGTAACAGCACAAAAGTGAGTTAAAATTATTATGAACTGTACCTGTGACTTAATTTCAGATGGAGAAAGCTTAAAACAGAAGTAGAGAAAACTGAATTTAGATGCTGAGATTCACCAAGACTGATCTCCTTATCATGAAACTACCAGACTTAATAACATATGCACTTTTCCCCACCAATCATCTATTTTAAGGGTTGAGTGACAATCTATCCTCTAAAACCATCTATAAGTTATATTTATAATTATCTATTTAAATGTGGAAGAGAAACAAGCCTGACATAACATGGAGACAACGCTAACTAAAATAACACTGGTAATCAGGGTATACCATAAATATGAATTTATAAATTATGAATGAAATATAAATAACACCCATCCTGTATAAAAGGTCTGAAATATCATTGGTATTAAAAAAAACCAATAAAATTCTTTCCTGCTGTTAACAGAAATCACGAATTCCCACAGGAAAAACTGAAGAATGTTAACACATTTTTAATATAGTGGATTATACACATACTTAAGAAAATAGATACGTGCATTATTCACACACGTCTCCGAGTCGCCTTTCATCAGTCACGTAATTTCCTAGCAATAATTTTCATAGAAACCGCCATATACTTACAAGACAACTGACCTAAAATAATAATAGTAATAAGAATATAACCAAAGGAACATTCTTTCAAGCCATTATCTAGCCACGCAGCTAGAAGAGACACCTTAAGAATCTGTCACGTACATGCAGCCCTGCAATATTTTTGTTTGCCAAGATTCTGGCACAACAGCAGTCTTGTCACTTGTTCAAAACACAGTACCACCTACAGACCAACCACAATTCCATCTTATTTTCTTTCCGCCACAGTCCTGCCTATAGACATTTTATTTATGTTCTTGTAAATGTTGGTTTTCTGGGTTAACACTGTTACAACCCAGAAGACCAACACCAACTTCTTTTTTACTGCCATAAGAACCTCAAATTAAATCTTGTCTGCTTAGGTGAGGTTAGGTTTGTGTCCCACCAGGCATAGCGTAGGAAGCCCCGAGCCAGTAATCGAGTTCATTGTAAGAAAATTCGTTGCGCCAACACAGTAATAAATCTGCGACTACCGTCACAGCTGTGAGTAATTAAAGATTTAAATTTACGAACGGTCACAGATCTGCACTAAAACCGTACAGTGTTGATGGGTCACTGTGCAGGAACAATCCGTGCCACTTGCGCTCATGTTCAAGATCAATGTTTGGCACAAGCAACTGACAGAAGTCGCAACGACATTAATTGACAGTTGATCAAAACTGGCTTGGAAATGTAGGTTCCTTCAAAATATATTACCATTCATTGCTTTATAACAGTGTTGCCATACAAATCCTTGTAAATGTCTCAAGAAAGTTCAATAAGTAACTGTTTCAGTGTTACAGATCAACTGGTGGAGCTTTTGATTTGTAGGCTGGTTTCAGAAAGTAAAAAGGGTAATATATGTCATCCTGTAATACCTTATGAACAAACTAACTTAATTTTATGAAACTCGGAATTGAGATCACGGCATAAGAGACTACATTAACACCATATTTTTAGAGCTCATAAAACATGGTCCTCGATAAACGATCAGTAATAATATAATTTAAATCATGATTCACCAAATTTGTATTGTAACAACAATTGCAGGAAGATCAAAATAAAATGGGATCAACCAGTTGCCCCATGTCTGCGTTTTCAGACTGAGGGGCGGACAAGCCGTTAATCATGCACTGTTGGTCGCAGCAAACAAATCCAAATTAATTTCTTGGGCTTCTTGATTCCTTCTTCCTATCTGAATGCAAAGTAATATACCCAAATAATAACCTCACTATTACCAACACTGAGCTGTAGCGTTACTTAGTCGTGTGTCTAGCCCAAGCCGTCCGCTGAACCTGCGACATGAGTTCACTACGGTTCGGCACCTTTTCACTAGTAGACCGGGTTATGAAGGGAGGTCCATTGGCCAATCCACCACGTTTACTTCCACTGTCATCAACCCCAGACACCCTAAGAGATACCATCGACGATAAAGCTGCAGATAACTGGTTCTGTTCCTTTTTGCTGGTCTGGGCAGATCCACTGTCCTTATTCTGCTGCTGGCGCTTCACAGAGCCAGGAGGTGGGTCTAGATGTGGCATCTCCTCAGATCTTCCTCCACTATCAGAACCGCTGTGGGATAATGGTCGGATGAACTGTGTAGACTCTTCCTCGCCGGCTGCTTGAGGGTTTAGTTGAAGTGTCATCTGCCGAGAACGTTGAGAGAGCACTGGCGAGCTGGAATAGGATGGGGCTTGGGAGACATGGTAACCAAGTTGGGTGGGGGAAATCTGAGTTTGTTGCTGCGGAGCATACAGTCCTGCCAACCCGGGTTGCTGATACACACTAGTAGGAGACACTAGGGAGAACTGCTGTTGCTGCTGGGGAGGTCTCACTGGGTTTTGGTAGGTACCACTGAGGCACTGCAGTCTCTGTAGCAGCTGATGCTGAAACTGCTGGTCTGGGGTGCAGGCTGTGGTCGGGAAGCCCAACGCAAAGATGCCAGGAGACGAGTTCTGGTGCTGCAGCAAAGAGTGCCGCTGCTGGGGAGATCCTGGCACATACGTTGTTGTGGTACTGTGGTTCTCAATCAGTGATGAGGCTTGAGGCTGTTGAGGCACCTGCAGCTGTTGACGGAGAGGGTCTCTTTCTTGGAAGTCGGGCAGGAAGACAGGAGCCACTGCTGGGGTTTGAGGGTCACACAGTATTGCCAACTAAGGAGGGTTCAAGGAAGAGAGATAGCGACAAGAAATATAAAGAGGGAACATGAAAAAAGAGAGAAAGACAAGTGTTAGAAATGTGTTTTATGAGGCTAATATTTCAAAGCTGTTCTTATGCAGAATGTATTGACACAGGAAGTCCATGTCACTTAGGATGCACATCAGAGTGCATACTTCATTATAAACCTGAACTGATAACATTCTGACAGCATTATTTGTAAATTATCATGTCTCCCGAGTTGTAACACTGCCATCTTCAGAAAACTACTGCCAGTGACACTGGAACTTACCGCAGTCATGCTGAAGACAACGATGGGAAAAATTTTCCAGATTGTGTGCCGGAACTTGAAGAAAGAATGGGGGAAAAACTACATTTTTTATTTGTTCATTTAACTAGTTGAAAATAAAAAAATGGTATTAAATAAGGACAAATGGAATTATTACTATTATTATTGTTGTTGTGAATAAATTGGTTGGTTGGTCCACAAACAGTCAAAAACTTCGGGCTTTTGGCTGTCATAACTCAAACAAACCTGCTATCTTTTAATGCAGATTTCTGAAATGTTATGTGGTAACACATATTACAAAAAATATGCAGATTATGTGAATTGAGATCACGGCATAAGAGACTACATTAACACCATATTTTTAGAGCTCATAAAACATGGTCCTCGATAAACGATCAGTAATAATATAATTTAAATCATGATTCACCAAATTTGTATTGTAACAACAATTGCAGGAAGATCAAAATAAAATGGGATCAACCAGTTGCCCCATGTCTGCGTTTTCAGACTGAGGGGCGGACAAGCCGTTAATCATGCACTGTTGGTCGCAGCAAACAAATCCAAATTAATTTCTTGGGCTTCTTGATTCCTTCTTCCTATCTGAATGCAAAGTAATATACCCAAATAATAACCTCACTATTACCAACACTGAGCTGTAGCGTTACTTAGTCGTGTGTCTAGCCCAAGCCGTCCGCTGAACCTGCGACATGAGTTCACTACGGTTCGGCACCTTTTCACTAGTAGACCGGGTTATGAAGGGAGGTCCATTGGCCAATCCACCACGTTTACTTCCACTGTCATCAACCCCAGACACCCTAAGAGATACCATCGACGATAAAGCTGCAGATAACTGGTTCTGTTCCTTTTTGCTGGTCTGGGCAGATCCACTGTCCTTATTCTGCTGCTGGCGCTTCACAGAGCCAGGAGGTGGGTCTAGATGTGGCATCTCCTCAGATCTTCCTCCACTATCAGAACCGCTGTGGGATAATGGTCGGATGAACTGTGTAGACTCTTCCTCGCCGGCTGCTTGAGGGTTTAGTTGAAGTGTCATCTGCCGAGAACGTTGAGAGAGCACTGGCGAGCTGGAATAGGATGGGGCTTGGGAGACATGGTAACCAAGTTGGGTGGGGGAAATCTGAGTTTGTTGCTGCGGAGCATACAGTCCTGCCAACCCGGGTTGCTGATACACACTAGTAGGAGACACTAGGGAGAACTGCTGTTGCTGCTGGGGAGGTCTCACTGGGTTTTGGTAGGTACCACTGAGGCACTGCAGTCTCTGTAGCAGCTGATGCTGAAACTGCTGGTCTGGGGTGCAGGCTGTGGTCGGGAAGCCCAACGCAAAGATGCCAGGAGACGAGTTCTGGTGCTGCAGCAAAGAGTGCCGCTGCTGGGGAGATCCTGGCACATACGTTGTTGTGGTACTGTGGTTCTCAATCAGTGATGAGGCTTGAGGCTGTTGAGGCACCTGCAGCTGTTGACGGAGAGGGTCTCTTTCTTGGAAGTCGGGCAGGAAGACAGGAGCCACTGCTGGGGTTTGAGGGTCACACAGTATTGCCAACTAAGGAGGGTTCAAGGAAGAGAGATAGCGACAAGAAATATAAAGAGGGAACATGAAAAAAGAGAGAAAGACAAGTGTTAGAAATGTGTTTTATGAGGCTAATATTTCAAAGCTGTTCTTATGCAGAATGTATTGACACAGGAAGTCCATGTCACTTAGGATGCACATCAGAGTGCATACTTCATTATAAACCTGAACTGATAACATTCTGACAGCATTATTTGTAAATTATCATGTCTCCCGAGTTGTAACACTGCCATCTTCAGAAAACTACTGCCAGTGACACTGGAACTTACCGCAGTCATGCTGAAGACAACGATGGGAAAAATTTTCCAGATTGTGTGCCGGAACTTGAAGAAAGAATGGGGGAAAAACTACATTTTTTATTTGTTCATTTAACTAGTTGAAAATAAAAAAATGGTATTAAATAAGGACAAATGGAATTATTACTATTATTATTGTTGTTGTGAATAAATTGGTTGGTTGGTCCACAAACAGTCAAAAACTTCGGGCTTTTGGCTGTCATAACTCAAACAAACCTGCTATCTTTTAATGCAGATTTCTGAAATGTTATGTGGTAACACATATTACAAAAAATATGCAGATTATGTTATAACATTTTATATTATAAATATATATATAAAATGCAAAACAATATGGCAACTGTGCACAATCTTATTTAAATCTCCATCTGGCAGTCATAACTAAAGAGATATGGAAGATGCACATGTGAGACAGATCATAAACATACTAATTTTGTATGAAATATGTTTATCCTACATTACAACTTACCAACACAGGGAAAGTGCAAAACTTTGAGGTTATATGAGATAAATTTATCATATGTAAGATTTGAGGTTTTCACGGCAGTGAGTATGAGGATTTCTGTGTTCTGGGTTGTTGCGCTGTGTAGTCTGGTCGATGTTTACCAACGTTTCAGAGGTCATACTGCCTCATCGCCCTGATGACGGAGGCAGTATGATCTCTGAAACGTTGGTTAACGTCGACCAGACTACACAGCGCA